AAAAAAAAAAAAAAATCAACAAAACATCAACAATAATCAACAATAATGGTATGGTTTGTTAATCAAGAAAACGACACCTGTCTCATAAGGAAATGTTCTAAGAAGATTTTAGCGGTGGACGCGCCACGTCATCCCTTCTAACCTCTATAAAATATATGCAAAATCACCCATCACACACACACACACACACAAATACTAGTGATTAGTGAAAATAAATAAATAAATAAAAAAATGTCTAGCACTCAAGGTCAGGTTATCCGCTGCAAAGGTGATTGAATTTTCTTGATTTTATTAATTCTTGCAGTTTTTATTGAGATATAATGTTGATTTAATTTAATTAATTTGTTATGAATTGGCTAAAAAAAAAATATTAAATTTAAATATTTTTTTGTGTGTATTTAATTAATTGAATTTGTAGCCGCCGTGTCATGGGAGGCCGGAAAGCCTCTGGTGATCGAAGAAGTTGACGTGGCACCACCGCAAAAAATGGAAGTTCGTCTCAAGATTCTATTCACTTCCCTTTGCCACACCGATGTTTATTTCTGGGAAGCCAAGGTACATAATAAATTAAATTAAAATTTCTAACCGTTAGAGTATCATGTAACCGTCTTAATAATAGTTGATCTAACCGTTACATCTCCGTAACGGTAGAATTTCCCTTAATCATTTTTTTTTTGTTAATATAAGTTGATACTATTATAAATAGGTAGAACTCTTATTGTTAATTAATTAGTTCTAGAGTTCATTAAAAATGAATATTTATTTTATTTTATTTTATTTTTCAGGGCCAAACGCCTCTGTTCCCTCGCATATTCGGCCATGAAGCCGGAGGGTACGTAACTATCTAAATCAAAATATCATTTTCCAAATTAATTAGAAAGAAATATCAATTTATTGTTGTTAATTTTTTGTATTTTTGCTCGATTTATATTTATTTGCGCCTAGAGTCGTCGAGAGTGTAGGGGAAGGCGTGACGGACCTCAAACCGGGCGATCACGTCCTCCCCGTGTTCACGGGCGAATGCAAGGAGTGCCGCCATTGCAAGTCGTCCGAGAGCAACATGTGTGACCTCCTCCGGATAAACACCGACCGAGGCGTGATGATCGAGGACGGCAAAACGAGGTTCTCAAAGAACGGCCAACCGATACACCATTTTCTCGGCACGTCGACTTTTAGCGAGTACACGGTCGTTCACGTCGGGTGCGTCGCTAAAATCAACCCGAAAGCCCCACTTGACATCGTTTGTGTTCTTAGTTGCGGAATTTCGACCGGTAATTGATCCAAAAAAAAATTATCGAAAATTTGATGTGGAATTTGCATTTGATGTTTGATTTTTGTTGATATTTTGGGCTATTTTTGTGGCTCGAAGGACTCGGGGCGACTCTAAATGTGGCCAAGCCGACTAAGGGTTCGACTGTTGCAATTTTCGGATTGGGGGCCGTGGGTTTAGCGGTTAGTATATATGTTCCTTCATAATTCAATTTAATTAGGGCTTATAGATGAGATTATTTTGTGATTTAACAAATTAATTAACTTGTTTTATTGACTATTGAGTGTTTGATTTATTGGTAATAAGGCTGCCGAGGGGGCTCGCATTGCTGGGGCTTCGCGTATTATTGGCATCGACTTGAACCCGAGTCGTTTCGATGAAGGTTATTAGGAAGTCCGCGATTTTTTTTTCTGAGTACTTAATTTGATTCATAGCCTTGAAATAATTACATTAATCATTATCTCTATTAAATATTCTTCCCTTACAGCAAAGAAATTTGGTGTGACTGAATTTGTGAACCCTAAGGACCATGACAAGCCTGTTCAAGAGGTTAGGGCCATTTTATGTTTACATATCTTTTGCTCTATACATTTATTTATTTATTTATTTATGGAAAAATCTTGTTATTGAAAAGACAATTATGAAAATATTCATTAGGTGATAGTCGGGATGACGGACGGTGGGGTCGACCGGAGTGTCGAGTGTACCGGAAACGTGAATGCCATGATATCCGCATTCGAGTGTGTTCACGATGTAATTACTATCTCTCCCTTTTTTCGACCCGTGGAGAAAAATCAATATCTAAAATCAATGTTTGAACGTCATTTTTTTTAAAAAAAATTTCGTGTTGTGTTGTGTGGTGTGGATCGACAGGGTTGGGGTGTGGCCGTGTTGGTTGGGGTTCCGAACAAAGACGACGCGTTCAAGACTCATCCAGTGAACTTGCTCAACGAGAGGACTCTCAAAGGGACATTTTTCGGCAATTATAAGCCGAGGAGCGACATTCCTTCCGTGGTCGAAAAGTATATGAACAAGGTAAAAATAAAATGTGGTAATATATTTACTAAATAGTCTTATCATTTTGTAAAAAAGATGAAATATAGCTAATTTGTTTAGAAGTATAAAATAATAGTTATTTTGTCATGTACAATGACGCAATTACCCTTGCTACTAGAAGAAATGGTTTCTAGGCATTGTTTATGAATCGGTTTCTGGTAGTAAACGCAATTGTGTTATTGTACACGACAAAATGACTATTATTCATACTTTCATAGAAAAAATGTGTTATTGTACAGGACAAAATGACTATTATTCATACTTTCATAGAAAAAAATGACTATATTTCATCTTTCGATTTGATACTTTGATATAATACAAAGACACTCGAATAAAATTGCGTTTATTTTATCATTTTAGGGGTCGTTTTTATAAATTTTTAGTATATATTGATGATAATATTTTGTATCAGGAGCTGGAGCTCGAGAAATTCATAACACACAAAGTGCCATTTTCTGAGATTAACAAAGCTTTCGAGTACATGCTGCGAGGGGAGGGTCTTCGATGCATGATCACCATGGGAGAATAATTATAATTAATTAATTAGCTTATGTTTGCTTAGCTTTTTTTTTTAACTAGTACGTAACCCGTGCGATGCACGGACTGTATTTATTTTGGAGAATATTATAATTTGAAGTGTATTAAAAAATAAAATAGTGATATTACGTAGATAAATTGTGAAATCATAAAATATTCATCATAAAAAAAAAATATATTATTAAGAATCTTATTGTACAATATTATCAGTTTGATTACTTGGCAACTTGTTGTCCCCAAAAACTAATATTTTAAACTCATTTCTATAAATTCCATGTGAAACAACAACATATAATAGGCGTGACTAAATACTAATTTATTTAAGAAAAAAGCCAAAGTACGATAAAATCTGACGCTGATTTTTATTTATTGTAGTGACATAAAAAACTATAAGTAAGAACAGATGCCGTTGGAACTTAAATGAAACTCTAAGATCAGAATAATCTACTTATAATATGATAATTTACCTGACAGTTCGACAATGAGTTGTTAGTTTATCATTTTAATATCGATTATACTTAATTAGCGAAATAATATTTATCATTATTTTTATAGTTTTATATTTCATTATAAAAGAAAATTAAACAAGTATATTTAAAATATTAAAAATACCTAAAATATTATATAACATGTGTAATTAGACATTAATTCACGTTAATTTTTTTAAATCGAACAATTTTTAATTGGACCACTGCCCTATTATATTATATGTATGAATATTTTTTATGTAGTAGATTTATATATATAGAGAGTTTTTGTCTAGCAGATTTATATTTTTATCAATACAATCAATAGAAAATCGATTTCCTATACAAAATTTCAAAAACTTTGTTTTAAAAACAATAGTAACAAATAATATAAAATGAGGATTTGTATATATCTCACATAAGGGAATATATATATATTATGATATATATATATATATATATCATAATAAATTGTTTATTTTCAGAATTTGCTAAATGAATAAACCAATTTGAATGTTACCATAAAATTATATTTTGTGTATATATATGGCAACCTCAATCATTGATTCTAATAAATATGATGAAATCAAAAAGAATCTTTCATAAATGAGAATTCTAAAATTAGCGCCATATAAATTTGAATATTACTATAAAATTGTATTTTGTGTATATAGCATATATGCTAATCCAAATTAATGATTCTAATTAAAATAAAAAAGAATCCTCCATAAATGAAGATTCCAAAATAAGGTACATAATTATGTACAGGAAATCAACTACATAAATCAAGATTCCAAAATAACCTTTACCTACAAAATAACTATTAACTTAATTAAAGGAAACATATAATTGTCTAAAATAAACACAGAATGAAATCTGAGTTATATGGAAACTATGCAATTAATGATTTATTTTTTTATTTAAATAGTATTATATTATTTCCATTTATAGTAAGTAATTAATGTTGATGGCGGGAAAATTTTACTAAAAATGATTTAAGTTAATCCTTATTATATATTAATAGATTGCAACAACAATAAAGGCAGTACATTTGAATGTTTTTGGCCATATTATATTATAATAATATATGAAGTTCAATTTGTGATATATTTTTTGAGGTTTTAATTTTTAATTTTTTTTTTCTTTTTATTTTGCATTGGGGTATATTTTTTTAATATATGGAGGTTTATGATATATTTGAGGTTTTCTTTTTATATTATTTATGCTCGTCTTACGTTTTTTTCTTTTTTTTTT